GTACATGTGATTTTCACTAACAATTTACTTCCTGATGAACACTGGCGAGTTTGGGAAGAGACAAAAACACATGCAGATCAGATTCATCAAACAGATGGAACATATCCAATCAGATCTGAGGCAGTTCCTGACCAGGATCCTCGATGGAATTATAATTCCACAGGTGGTATCTTAGCCAGAGATAGATTTATAACATGTCTTTTGGCAAGCCTGAGGAAGGCGGAGTTAAAGCCAGTAAACTTTGAGAAACTCCAAGAGGTTGTCCAGGATAAACAAGAAAACCCGTCTCAGTTTTTAGAACGCCTTACAAAGGCCTTACTGCAGTACACTAATCTGGACCCTGAAAACCCAGAAGGTAAGCAACTTCTCATGAACTACTTTTTTCCCAGAGCTACCCCGACATAAAAGCTAAACTTAGGCGATTGGAGAGGGGGCCCCTAACTCCACAGGCAGAAGTCTTGGCACTGGCCTTCAAAGTGTACCATGAGAGAGCTGAGAAAGCCCTTAAACAGAAATATCATATGCTGGCAAAGGCTGTCCGACCAGCCTCAGCCACTACCCCAGACTCTGCCCATCACTATCAGGGAGCCACAGGTAGATATTATGGTATGTGGAAGACCCATCTCCTTCCTCTTGGACACTGGGGCCACTTACTCAGTCCTGCCTGAGTTTTGGGGACCCACCTCACCTTTGCATTCTCCTATTGTCAGGGTAGGAGAACAACCTTACCTTCCTCACCAGACCCCCCCACTTACTTGCATTTTTAGGGGTGTGCCTCTCACCCATTCCTTTTTGGTAGAGCCTACATGTCCTGTCCCCTTAGTAGGAAGAGATATTTTAGCTAAGTTGGGAGTTTCTATTTCCTTTGCTCCACCAATTCTCTTAAGCCCAAGCTCGCCAGCGGTTCCTCTGTTCCTCCTTTTAGCCAATCACCCTACTAACACTAACATGTTATTTCCCTTACCAGCTTCTCAGGTGGACCCCCGAGTTTGGGATGTCCAGAACCCCTCTGTTGCTAAGCATCGTTCTCCTCTTGTCATCCAGTTACTGGGCTCTACCAGGTACATCTGCCAAGCCCAACACCCCCTTTCTCTCCAGAGCCTCAGGGGACTTAAGCCTTTCATTTCTGACCTCTTAAGAAAAAAACTCCTTTGACCTACCTCTTCCCCCTTTAACACCCCTATACTGGCAGTTAAGAAACCTAATGGTACCTATCGACTGGTTCAAGACCTCAAACGCATTAACTCTGCAGTGGTTCCCCTCCATCCTGTTGTAGCTAATCCTTACACACTTCTTTCCACTATCCCCTCAGGGACTCCTCATTTTTCAGTCCTAGATCTCAAGGATGCATTTTTCTCTATCCCTCTAGACACCCAGTCACAGGACAATCATGCCCACCTCTTAATATTTCCAATCTTCTTCCTCAACCTAATACTGACTACTCCCTATCTCACTCCTGCACTGAAACTTTAGAGGAACTATTACCTCATCCTTCACACATACAGGAGGGCACATTGCCTCAAGTCACCTTTACCTGGTATACAGACGGAAGCTCCTTTCTACATGAAGGGATCAGGAAAGCTGGCTATGCCATAGTGTCTGACACCAAGGTGGTGGAGGCACAGGCCCTTCCTGCTCATACCACCAACCAACAGGCTGAATTAATAGCCATTACCCGTGCCTTCCAGCTGGCACAGGGACAATCCCTCAACATCTACACAGACTCCAAATATGCTTTCCATATCCTCCTGTCCCATGCTGCTATCAGGAAGGAACACAGGTTACTTACTACAAAAGGAGGATCAGTAACTAATGCAAACCAAATTATGGCCATGTTAAAGGCCTCCCATCTCCCCACAGCTATTGGGATTGTCCACTGCAGATCACACCGGATGGATGACTCTATTGTCACCAAGGGAAACAAGCGAGCTGATGAGGCAGCTAGAGCTGCGGCCATTAGGGGTCTAGACTCACCTTACCCTCCCCAGGACATTCTTACACTGCAACCCACATCCCCACTACATCCCCTGACACTCGTCAAACTCTCTCCTATCTTCACCAACTCTTCCATCCTAACAGCCAAGCGTTGTCTTATTTTGTTAAGACCCACCTACAGCCTACTCCTGAGGACTTAAGCTTCTTAAAATCTATCACTGCTTCTTGCAAAATCTGTCAGATGTCAGATCCCAACTCAAGGTATTGTAGCACCTCTTTTCCTACCCATCAGGCTAGAGGTTCCCTTCCTGGAACTGACTGGCAACTTGACTTTACCCACATGCCTGCTGTAAAACATGTCAAGTACCTCCTGGTCTTGGTGGACACCTTCTCAGGCTGGGTAGAGGCTTTTCCCACAACTAACAAAAGGACTCAGTCTCTGATCTCCTTCTCAGGGAGATCATCCCCTGATTCGGTGTCCCAGCCTCCCTTCAGTCAGACAATGGTCCTGAATTTACTTCCCAAGTTTCTCAGATTCTATCTAAGGCCCTAGACATCCCCTGGCATTTTCATATTCCCTACCACCCTCAATCTTCAGGTAAGGTAGAGAGAACTAGCTGGTCCTTAAAAACCACTCTTGTCAAGCTGTCACAGGAACTTCACCTTGACTGGGTAAAACTCCTACCTCTGGCTCTTTCCAGGCTATGAGCTCTCCCTAAGCAGCCTCTTCTCATCTTACCCTTTGAACTCATGTATGGACATCCAGTTCTAACTCCTGGTCTTTCACCTAAATGCTCTCTCCTCCCAGACCATCCACTCACCCCATTGCTTTGCCACCTCCGTTCTCTCTTATGGAACTTTGCTGACCACCATCTACCTCAACCACACACTGTCTCCTGTCCACTGCCTGTCAACATTGGAGACCAAGTCCTTCTTTCCCCTCCAGATCATCGGCCCTCACCTCTCTCTCCCAAATGGCAGGGCCCTTTTAAGGTAATCCTCGTGACTCCTACAGCTGCTAAATTCGAAGGACTCCCTCATTGGGTCCACTTGCCTCACCTCAAGCCTTTCATCCCTCCACCTAAAATCGACTCTTCTTCATACGTGTTGACCCTAACAGGGCAGTGCTCTATTAAGCTCCAGAGGACATCGAAATCACCCACCTTGTCCTCAATCCCAGAAAATGAGACTCCATTCCGGCAGCCGAGCTTGACCTCACTGGACTAGACACATGTTTCTTGTCCTCCCCCTGCTGTTTGTTTCTATCCAGGTCAGCCCTCACAACTGGATGTACGAGGTTCAAGAGACCCCCACAGATAACAAACAGTCTTTCCAAACAGGGTCAGGAAACTGCTCCATAGCCGGATGCCAAGAACCAATCCAAATTGCTATCATCCCTGTATCTGTTGTCCCATCTAAATATTATGTTCTCTGTACTTGCTTTCTCTTTGCCCAGATAGAAGGTTATTGTAGAAACTGGCCAGACGATTATGGGGGCTGCCCATATTGGTCTTGTCAGATACATATGTTAGGATCATGGTTCAACCATTTCTTCTACCTACACCACAAGACACTCGTTTCTACATACAAGATCAGCCGGATTCCAGCTGTTCTGCTTCAGAACTGACGGGGCCAGATGTCCTGACAGCTAAAGATGGTCTTTGCCGGTTCCTCCAAGAAGAATGCCATTTTGGGGGAATGTGAGACCTCCAGTTCTGAGATATTTAAAACCCACAGAAAAGCAGATACTCTCTTTTGTAACACCCTTTCTAGTCATCCTCCTGGTGTTATTTCTAACCAAACTATTAATCAGTTCCTGTTACAGGATTACCAGCTGCTGTCCACAGAGGAACCTGATACACAAATCTACGGAGTGGACCCTGATGGTGAAAAAGCCAGCTGCTCCCCACAATGGACTACCCCCCTACACAGCAGGAAGTAGTCTAAGAGACACAGCGCCCCAACTCCCCTTTCACCATTGGCTTCCCCTCCCCTTTTTTCATTTATTTATTTATTTATTTATTTATTTTGGTTTTTCGAGACAGGGTTTCTCTATGTAGTTCTGGCTGTCCTGGAACTCACTCTGTAGACCAGGCTGGCCTTGAACTCAGAAATCTGCCTGCCTCTGCCTCCTAAGTGCTGGGATTAAAGGCGTGCACCACCATCGCCCAGCCTTTTCTTCTCTTTATAATAAGAAAAAGGGAGGTATGTTGGCACCAGGCCTGAACTCAGTGACGTCACATCCAGGCGACCCTACATCGTTGCCAAGGTAACCTCCATACACTCCCAGAATCCACCTGGCTACCTCACCTTTACCTGCCCATATAAATAGGCAGAACTCCCTGACCCCTCTCTCTTTCTTCTCCCTGCCATTTCCTCCCGTTTCTCTCCCCACCTTTGCCCTCTGCCCTAAATAACCCCCCGCCCCTCGTGGAACCGTTTGGTCTGGTGTTGTCTGTCCTAAGCTGCGCGCCAAAATCTAACACATGTAGCCTAGGTTAGCCTTAAAGTTGCTGTGCTGTGGCAGCTGACCTTGATCTCCTGATCCTCCAGCCTCTGTCTCTTAAGTGCCGTTTGCAGGTATGAAACACCACACCTACCTATGTGATCTTAGGAACGGATCCTGGGGCCTTGGTGCCTGACTCCCTGAGCCTGGCCCAGCTTTTCTGTTTTGAGACAGGGTCTTGATATGCAGCACAGGCTGGCATCAGACTTGCCACCCTCCTGCCTGAATCTGGGATGACAGGCGTGGCCAGGCCAGTCCCTTCTGTCACCTTTCTTGATTATCTTAGAATTCATCCTTAAGATCTTACCACAGGTCTACACATCTCAAGACAACTTGACCCCTGGGACAAGCCGGGTACAGGTGTCATCCTCAGGGAATCTCGTGCCCATGAAGGCCTCTTCCTTACTATCTAAGGTTACTTCTGAGATTTTTTGGTTAGAGTTTTCTGTCTTTCTTTGACCTTTTCGAGGTTGTATTTTGGCAGGTGTCTGGGCTTTTCTAACATCTGTGAGCACTCCAGGCAGAGCAGGGTGCTGGGTGGGGGTCCCAGCGCACTTACATGGCTGTTGAGCAGGCCGCCTTTGTGGGGGGCGAGGCCTTCGCTTTTTTGGAGAGTCTCAATCGCCATTTCAAGCTACAAAGACATGTACAGAGACAGGACAAAACCAAAAAGGTGGTGGGGGTGGGGTGGGGGGAGAGAAGGAAATCAGATGGTTAGAGGCAGGCAGCCCACACCGGTCTCTCATTAGCATCCAAATAACAAGGCAGCTAGCAAGGGCAAGGCAGGGGGGTGACGGTGAGTGAAGCCATGGCAAGTTCAAGGCTGTGTACCATGCACCAGAGCCCAGAGCTCAAGACAGCAGCATAGAGCAGAAGTCGCTGGGGGCCCACATCATGTCCCAGCACAGGATGTAAGGCACTGGGAGTCAAGCTCACGCACATGAAGGCTGAGGCCAGCAGCGAGTCTTCCTCAGATACTCTCCCAGTTCGCTTGTGTTTATATTCTAAGTATGGGTGTTTGGCCAGCATGCCTGTCTGTGTATCCTGCATGTGCGTGCCAGGTGCCTGTGGAGGCTAGAGAGGGCACCAATCCCCTGCAACTGGAGTTACAGAGTGCTGTGCAGCACTATTTGGGTTCTTGGACCTGAACCTTCAGGTTAGACACTGGGTCACCACTCCGCCTTATTTTTTGACACACAGTCTAACTGTGAGCCTTGAGTTAGTTCACTGACTGGCTGGCAAGCTCCTGCATCCTCCTGTCTCCACCTCTTCGGCTCTGGGGTCAGAGGCAGGCACCACCATGCCCAGCTTCTTAGGTGAAGGCTGAGAGGGTCAAACTTCACCCATTGAGCCTTCTTCCCAGGCCCTGAGAACCACGCTTACACACGGCTGTTGTGTGAACTCGGATGGGAGCCAGGCTGCTCAGCCTCCATCACCTGCACATAGCCCACACTGTACCTGCTGCTGCAGACGGCAGGCTATACACTGATCCCTGAGCCACCTTTCCTAGTGTGGCACCAGGGACTCCTAGCTCAGGGGCTCTGGGCCACTGCACACTGCCTGATGAGTTGGAGTTAGGAGACAGCTCAGGGGAAGCGATGGACATGGAGCCGAGGAAAGTGAGTGGGGATAGAGTGAGCTGTCAGAGGTGTTGTGACCCACCTAAGGACCTGGGTGGAGCAGAGTGGGGGAAGACCTGTTGCGTGCTGCATTGAGTGTGACCTGGCCTTATAGGTGGCAGTGGGTGCTGGCATCAGCCAGGAAAGAATGTAAAACACTCAGGGGAGCAGGGCCTCTCACAGGGTTTTGGCAAGAGCAAGTGGAATGTTTCACTCACCAAGCACCCGAGAACCACAGTCAAAACAGAGGGCCCAGGGCAGGCAAGACGACTCAGGGGTAAAGGTGTTTGCCACCAAGGCTGTTGACCTGAGTTCAATCTCTAAGACCCACGTCTGTAAGGAGAGACTCCACTTCCACAAGTTGTCCTGACAACTCTGCCATGGCACGTGAGTGCAAACAGTGAGTGCAGTGCAGTAAGAAAAGAGAACAAAGGGTCACGGCTTCTGAGGCCCCCAGAGTCATGGCGCATCTGTGATCTCCCTCAATGGCACCTGGATGAACCAGGACACCAGGGCTGTCTTTACACAGTACAAAGCGCACCACAGGGAAGCCAGAGGCCAGGTGCACCTTGTGCTCCCAGCAAGAAGACAGAAGTACACAGTGGCAGAGAGAGGCACAGCCGGCCTAAACCTGCAGCACCCTGCCTGAAAGGCAGCAGGAGTGGCTCACAGCTGTCAGCTGAATGTGCCAGCTCATCTGCTTAAGGAGACCAGGTCAATGTTAGCTACAACTCTTTTCATCTTGTGTTTGAGACGGGGTCTCCCTGTGAACCTGCAGCCTATTCACTCTGCTGGGCTGGCAAGTGAGCCCCAGGGATCCTTCCTGTTCCTGTCTGGGATGAAAAGTGTGCACCTCCATGCCTTGCTTGTATAGGCCTGGGGACTGAGCTCAGGACTTCACACTGGCTCTCCAGGTGTCTTACACTGAGGCACCGCTCCAGCCCCCTCCCCCACCCCCAGTTCTCTCTCTCCCTTTCTTTCTCTTAAATTTGAGACAAGTTTATGCAGTCCTAACTGTTCTGGAACTCACAGAGATCCATCCACCTGCCTCTGCTTCGTGAGTAGTGGAATTAAAGGTGTGCACTATCACACCTGGTCCAATTTTGTTTTTAAGGGTTATATTTATCAAGTCAGATGTGGGGAGTGCCACTCACCAACCCTGTGAGGCAGGAGGATGTCAAGTTGGGCCCAGCTTAATGAGATGTGATTTCCCGAATAATAAAAGGGAGTGAGATCTACCAGTGTCCCCAGAGGTTATAGTGGAAAAGTTAAATCTATGTATTCATTCTTTTAAAAAAATTACCATGACAAAGAATCTAGATTTCACAGTGGCCCAGAAAGGTCATCAAATAAATGACCAATGACCACAGCACACCTTGGGTGGGGGATGCAGCACACACAGCAAGAGCATCCACACAGTAATGCCGAAGACTCCATTTGCTACAGAAAATCATGAGACATCCAAGGAAGGAAGAACCATTCTGTCAACAGAGACCCTGAATTTAAATAATTAAAAAAAAAGAGAAAGCTCAGACACGGGAAATGTTTACAAACTGTGCATCTGATGGGGACTTGTTTCTAGGACATGAGTATTTCTCCATACCCAGCTGGAAAACGCCAGCCTGGCTGAGTAGAAAGCAGACGACTAAAGTAACATTCAACACGGAGGGAGTGAGCGAGCGAGCGAGCACCTAGCTGTCCACGGTTCCCAGCTAGTGCGGAAACACAAATTACCACCACAGAGAGAGTCCACGGCACACCTACCAGGACGGGGAAGATAAAAAGTGTCAACAACTCCAAGTGCTGGCAAGGAAGCATCTCTTACGCCCTGGCAGGGCGGCTGAATGTACTTCTGGGGAAATGGGCAGGTGTCTCCGTGCGGGAGTAGACTGTGCACAGTCAGCAACTCCACTCAGAGGGGTCTCCCCCCAAGCCCCAAAAGGGAGGCCATACATCCAGGGCTCTGCCTGACTTCTTCTCAGTTCTCCCAAGCCAGAGGCTTTCCATTTGGCCTCCAGCTGGGGATGCAAGGAAGAATTATGGCTTCCACCACATCCCACCAAAGGCCACATGCTGAGGGCAAGAAACAGGTACTGTGGCTCCACCTCTGATAGCCCATAGGTGTCCAGCACAACAACAGAGAACAGACCCATAGCTGCCAGCATTGTAGGAAAGGGCATTTTGTTTTGTTATGTTTGGGTGAGGAATGTGGCATGGGAATCCGGGAACTTACACATCAAGTCCTTCAGGGCTCTGCACCAAAGAACAATGTGACTTATGTTATTTACAAACATTAAACAATGAGACACAGCTGGGTACTTGGGAGACTGAAGATTGTGGGATTGAGGTCAACCTGTACTACAGGGGAAATTCTGGGCCAACCTGGGCTTCACAACAACACTCTGCCTCAACTCTCCTTTCTCCACAAAAACTCCAAAGTCCGAACCACAGCTGTATTTAAGGCAGGTGAGCAATGAGCTATGACAGGAGCCTGTGTCCCCACACGGTGTATCCTCCATCTGGGGATGGCTCTGGGAGGCTCACAGTGAAGACAATAATGACCAGGACAGCAGCAGGACACAGCAGAGGACACTCTGCTCCTCACTGTCTTACAGGGCCCAACCCTAAAGGTCTTTGTCTCCTACCTGCACAGCTGCCACCTCCCCTCAGCACCTCAGCAGGTGGCAGAATGCGGACCTGGTCCTTGCCACTCACCTGCCTTATTGCTGGGTGCTGCTGAGGTTAGCAGGGCTACCCGCTGGCCATGGGGCCTTTGCACATACCGTGGCAGGTGAGGAGCGGGCAGTGTGGGCCAGGGAGTGTCTTGTGCCGTCCATGCCCCCGTGGATGAGGTAGGCTCCTGCGCCAGACACAATGGGGGTCCCCGAGACATCCATGGTGATGCCCACCATGCCGTGGGAGGGAACCGCTGGCGGGGATGAGGCTGCCACAGTCACCTGAGCGCCACCTGGAGTCTCAAAGTACGACGCTGCGCTGCTGGGGGCGTAGAGCTGCGGGTCCGGGTTGTAGGCATAGGCAGCTCGGCTGTGGGAGAGAAAGCGCCGCCATTTTATGACTCATCATGCTACTGAGAGATCTAAAGGAGACAACGGGCTGGAGGGGAGGGCTGGTTCAGCTTTAACAGAGCTCTCTGCCCTGCACCCACTGCCTGTCACTCCAGCTCCTGGGTCCCAGCACCCTCTGCTGGCTCCAGTGGGTGCTGCACTCACATGTACAAGTGCGCATGCACACGCACACTGTACTCACACAAGTACACACATGCACTTGAACACACGTACACTAACACATGCCCACACATGTACGCTCACATATGTCCATTCACACATCTGCACTACACACAAATGAACACACACAAAAGATAGAAGAAAATTCTAGAAAGTTCCAGAATATCTTAAAAATTGGAAAATAAGTTTTGTCAACAGTCCAGGAAACTCATCAAAGGCCCAGATGGAAAGTTCCTAGGTCATCACTCTCAGGGGCCTGTGGCTTGGTTTGATATTTTATTTTATTGAGTTTTCTAGAAGCCAAGAGCACAAAAGCTGTGGCCCTGAACTGGAGCCTTGGGGATCGGGGGTGGGAGAGACTTGACTGTGGGGAAGCAATGGAGTTGTGAGTCTGTGGGGTACCAGGGCCCTCACGGAGCACACGTACATGGCTCCATTGGCGTAGACAGCGTCCCCACCCTCCACGTACTGCACCTGTGCGGGGTACACGTGCTGCACCTGCAATGAGAAGCAAGCGCGGGTCACAGAGGGCACCAGGCTGGAGACAGGTAAGCCTGGAGAGGGTGTGGGGGACACCTGCACCCATGACAACACACCTTCCCCTCCCCCTCCCGCAATCCAGGGGGGCAGCACAGCCCAGGGCCTATGTTGTATAGTGAATGTCCAGCATGTTGTGGCATCAACTTCAGCCTTGCCTGGGCCAGTCTGTGGGGAGGCAGCTCAGTGGTCTTGAGCCGGGATCCCACAGCTTGGGTGTTCTGTGCTCTGCATGGAGTCCCCAGGGAAAGGACAAGAGGAAAGCCTGAATCCAGCAGGAGATAGAAACTCAGTGGGAGGCCTGAGGCCCCAGACTGCTGGGACAGTTCCAGACCACAGCCAGTGTGGGAAAGCTTCTGGGTCCAATGCTGGTATTTGTTTGCCCTCCTCCTACAGAGCTAATGGCCAGGTCCTGGGAACCCTTTAATGCCCTTGGTGCTCTCTGGAAACCCTGCAAACCTCCGCTCTCCAACATAGTTAGTCACTATCACCCACTGGGTGCCAGGCAGCTCCCTCCAGAGGAAAGGGCAACCTTAGCCCTTTGCCTTTTTTAAGATAAAGTTTTATTGGCACCCTGCCCCTCCCATACATCACTATGGCTATTTGGTTGTTACAGTCACATTCTTGGCCTTTTCTAGGAAAGATCACCTGAGAGGCCTGCCCCAATCCTTACAGCACAGCCTCTCTGACCAGCTGCAGCTGGCTCTGTGCCACTGGGAACAAAAGAGAAACCACTGTCCTTGGCTTGTTGCATTTGTCTGTGGTAAGTGAATTTTTTCTTTTACCAGAGCTTCCGGAACTTTCCAGTGACTGTAGATACTAGTGACAACAGGGAAACGACTCATAGGCTGGAGGCTGCACACAGCTGCCGAGAGCTCACAAATGCCAGTGCTCATGGGGCATCCTTACCTGTGCTGGCACTGGCTGGACTCTAGGGAGGGTGAGCGTCTGCATCGGGGTACCCTTGGGAGTGGAGCTTGCGGCTTGGACTAGCACACTCTGCAACAGACAACAGGAGATCAGCACCGAGGAAGACCCCCTCAGAACTGTGATCTGGCTGTCCCAGTCCTGCTGTGGCACATGCTGGGACCCACGGAGATGCAGACACAGGGCAGGGACAGGGGCAGGGGCAGGGGCAGGGGCAGGGGCAGGGGCAGGGGCAGAAGCCGCATGCAAACATACACACAGAGACACATATGGATGGACACACACACACACATGAGCACACATGGCACACCAGAAATACTCCTTTGGGAATACGAAGTTCAGGCCTAGGAGCTAAGGTTGGAAGTGGGTCTTTACTGATAGAGGTCCCTGGCTCAACCCTGACCCTCACTGGCCTAAGCCACATCTTGGCTGTTTGGAGGTGGGAAGCAGACTGCTTGAGGAGGGGGACACTGGGTACTGTGGTCACCCACTTTCTAAGTGCTGAGAGGATCCGTAAGTACACTTCTCTCTCTAGTGTTCCAGAGTGGTACTGCAAGCCAAGCCCAGTACAGTCCAGACCAAGACAGAACCTGAGCCTGTGGATGAGGAGCCCCCAGCCACTGCAAGGACATGAACAGATGAGTGTAGACACACCATGGTGTCTGTTCCTATGCAGGAATATCATTTAACCATGAATGGGTGCAGAGTTCTGACACCCACCACAGCATTGAGGGACCTGATGGACATGGGGCTCAGATGCCACAGTGTAGGCTCCAGGACAGGAGAACCCAGAAGCTGGAAGTCGATTCAAGATAGGGAAGGAATGAGCAGCTGCTGATGAGTATGGGCCTTTGATAGAATGTTGTGGACTAGACAGGCAAGGTGGCTGAATTCTGGGATTACAGTAAGAACCATTCTCCTTCCACAGAGTTCATTTTACATTGTGTCAATCCCATCTCAGTTAAAGGGTAATCAGGAAGGGCTGTGTGCACATGGCTCTGGCCCTTGCTGCACAGCATGAAGACGTGAGTTTGAATCCCAGCACCCACATGAAAAGCCAGGTGTGGCTGCAAGCTCCTGTGACCCCAGTGTACAGGAGGCAGAGACACTAGGACCTCTGAGGCTTGCTGGCCGCCAGCCCAGCTATAGTCAAAGGCCCCGTTTCAGGGCAATAAGGTGGTGTGGGAGAGAGGCCTCCATGCCTGCCCTCCACCTTACAGCCTGTGCCCACACACGGCACATCCCCACCCACTATCGTGGCACACACCTCTAAGGCCAGCACTCGGAAGGCTGAGCAGGAGAGTTAGTTGGGAATTTGAGGGAAGTGTGCCTTACAGAGTGAGGACTGTAGCTTGGCAAGCATCCAGCATTGCAGAAACTGGCCTCAGGCACTGTCAGCCTGGTCTCAAACAACAACAGCAACACAAAAACAAACAAATCCCTGGAAACACTGTGATTGGGTTAGGTGTGATGGTGACCAGCTGTAATCCCAGTATTCAGGGTAGAAGAAGGGGTGAGGCTGAGGCAGAAGGACTGCTGACAGCTCCAGGTCAGCCTTGGGTTACACAGCGAGACCTTGTTTCAACAGATCAATAAAACAAAAGCAGAGGCACAGAGTTTGCACCCACAGCTAACACTGAGAAGTCTGAAGGGGCAGCTGGAGCTGGGCAGTGGAGGGCTGTGTCATCAGAGATGTAAGGAGCTGGGGAGGGAGGGAGGGGAGGAGGGGAGGGGAAGAGGGGAGGAGGAGGGGAGGTGGTGGGGAGATGGGGAGGAGAGGAGGAGAGGAGGAGAGGTGAGGCAGTGAGGAGGAGGGAAGGGAAGGCGGGGAGGCGGGGAGGCTGATGAGAAGATGAGAGGAGGTGGGATGCTTGAAGGGGTGAAGTGGGGAGGTGTGGACAAAGTGAGCGGCTTGTGATGAGCCCTTTTCTAGCATGTGTAAAGGTCCTGGGCTCATCACCAGCATTTTATAAGAAACAGGACAACATCTGAAGATGTCTGGCTTTCTATTCTTAATTTCACCTCAATTGTTCCTTTGCCCTCCTGATAAATTAGTTAGTATGTGTCCTGTGTCTGTGTCCCCGACCTTCCAGCTTGCCTGGCATGCCCATGTGTCCTATCCCACAGTTTATTCTGAAGGTTGGTTTGCTCATGGCTGCAGAGAATAGTGGAAGTCTCTCAAGAATGGATCTGGGCTGCGTGGAAAGCACACTCAAGACCTTGGGACCCATTCTAATATGGGGGAGGGGTGAGAAGGAGATGGAGGAGGAGATGGGGAGGAAATGGAGGAGGGGAAGGGGAGGGGATAGAGGACGACATGGTGAAGAGATGGAGGAGAAGGAGAAGATGGAGGAGGAGATGAGTAGGAAGAGGGTTGAACGGAGCTTTGGGGAGCATCCTAATACTTCTCTCTACTTTGAATTTTTCAGTTATCTTTCCTTAGGCACAGAAGCTCTCGGCGAGCCAGTTGACTGGGTGGGGTGTGTTCCCTCCTCATCTGTGTCAATGGTTCTTTGTTAGCGCTTTTCAAAAGTGGTGGGATGGCAGGGCGGGTACAGTCACCTGTGGGGAGGCTGGCACAGGCTGGGCTGCAGGATGCAGAGCCACTGACGCTGGTGAATCTGCTCCTCCCTCGGAGTTCTGCATGCTGGGATCTACAGAGGAGAGAGTGGTGGTGAGGTGGCAGGATCACACACCTACAGCCCATGCTCCCTGAAACTGAGCAACCATCATCATTAAGGGTAGGGGAGACAGCTCCACAGATAAAGCAACCACTGCACCAACAGTGAGGACCCAAGTTCAAATCCACAGAACCCATGCAAAAAGTAGGCTTGGTGTTTATGCCTGTAACTCTCAAAAGGGAGAGGGAGCAGGAGAATCCCTGGTCCCAGGTTCAGTGAGGTCCTGTCACTAGAGGTGACTTCAGCACTCAGACCCAGACATCCTCCTGTATGGTGGCAGGTGGGTGGTCAAATTCTGACTAGACCCTCTGTCCTTCTGCAGGGCTCCAGGGCTCCAGGCAGGCCTTGGGTCCATATGTGGGGTGATGGCATCTCCACCTTGCTTGCCTAAAGTCTTTTATTTTTAAAAAGTTGTATTTATTTTATACGTGTGTGTGTTTGCCTGCATGTATGTCTGTGTACCACATGCATGCAGTGCCCACGAAGGCCTAAAGGGGGTGTCATCCCCAAAACTGGAGTTGCAGATTGTTAAGAGCAGCTAAGTGGGACCTGTGAACCACACAGGGGCAGCAGCTGGTGCTTGAACCGCTGAGCTGTCTCTCAGTCCTTAGTGTCTTTTTTTTTCTGCCTTTAATGTGAAAAGATCTTATAACAGATTACAAGAGTGCCCACAGGAAGAGGGAATGAACCCATTTTGTGTCACCCTGGGTTCTGTGCCTGCCTGTGCTGCCCCAGTAGTGACCACTAGATGGAGCCAAAACCACGCAGCGCACTGGTGCGCCTCAGTGCAGCGATTTCCAGAGGGAAGGCACTTGGACCTTGGAAGGCTCAGGACCTAAGCAGAGGCAGGAGCATGTGGAGTTCAAGATAAGGAGTCTGAAGCCAGCCTGGGCTACAAAAGTAAAATAAAAATATTTTGTAAGAAAAATCTCTAGTGTATACACACACTGGAGTAACTAATTGCTGATGAATGAATAAATCAAATCCAATGTTTTAATCTGACTGAGGGGGAGATAGCTCAGTCAGCAAATAGGTTTTTGTTTTTTGTTTTTGGAAGGCTCAAGAACCTCTCAGTTCTGAGGCCAGAACCCAGTAACAAGCTTGGAGTCCCAGTGGCTGTGAGATGAGAGGCAGAGACAGGGTAGGAGGGGGGACGGGAAAGGCTGTGTTCCTAGAGTTCACAGGCCAGTCTGGGCCGCAAAATGAGTTTCAGGACAGCCTAGATGACTGAGTGAGGCTCTGTATGAAACAAAACTTGTCACCAAAGATTCACAAGAATGTCTGAAATGAACAAATCTAGTAATACCCAGTTGCTTTTACCCATGTCTTAACAATGGACACCTCATTCATACACAAAATGAGAGGGGGGAGGGGGAGGGGGAGGGGGAGGGGGAGGGGAGAGGAGGGGAGAGAGGGGAGAGGGGAGAGGGAGCTAGGTTGGCCAGGTCTCAGGTTTTAGGCCAGCAGAGGTTGTGGTGAATCCGTGTCTCAGAACAAACTAGCAAGCAGCCAGGTGAGAGATGATACTAGCCAGTGATGGCTGGTGGGTGTTGTTGGTATTGCTGCACTGCACATGAGGTTTCATTTCCATGAGGGAATTTAGTCAGGCCAGCACATAGCTACCAGCCCTGGGAGACAAGGGGAACACGCCCTCTGCTCAGGCCGGGTCTCTCTCCATGCCTGTACTCAGGATCTGAGTCCTCTGTGGCCATCGAGTACGCACAATATGCACTACCCTCCTCACTCAGGAACTGCCAGGTTGTGGGATCAACTGTCAAGTACCCCAGAGTACTTGAAATTCAAGTGTGCCCTCCTCTCCTCAGTCCACCTGAACCTCAGGATGATGCTGGTGACTCCGACAAGGGAGAAGCTGGGATGTGTCTGATTCAAGAGAAAACATTAAAGGTTGTCATTCAATAAGGGAAGGACACAGATGTCACACTGAAGTTGATAAGCTACAGTTAGGTGTGTTCACATGTGTGTGTACATGTATGTGCATGCATTTGCTGCATGGGTGCATGCATATGTGTGTGCATGCTTGTGCACGCTGGTGTGTGCTGGCTGGAGAGACTGTAATAGCAATGGTGTGAGGTGAGCTGAGGTTGGTGAGCACGGGAGTCTGGCTCACTAGCCCTCTGCTTCTCTGGTTCTTTGCCTCTACTGATTTCTCACCTGTAGGGACCTGGCTTTCTCTACCTATCCTCCTCACCTGATTTCCTCTCCTATGGATGTGCCAGGAGCCGGAGAACACCCTGTCATCCTGCCTCTCTGAGCCTGGCTCATGGTTTCCTGTGACCCAGCTCTATCTACCACATGCTGCCAGTCAATGGTCCAAGAGAAGGCCTGAAGTCTCCCCATGACCAGCCTCTAATCCACTCTGTGCGTTTGACCTTGAACTTGACAGAGTGCCCAAGTGGAGTGGCTGGATGCAGATTTCAGTGGCCAGTCTCCTGCTGTCTCCAGGCGACTCCAAGAGGCTGGCACAGGCTGCAGTGCACTGGGGTCTGGACTGGCGCCAGGTGGATCTGCTGAGGAAGCGCCCTTTGTTTACAGGGGGAAAAAAAAAACTTGGGTTGCCTAGCAACAAGTGGGAAGGCAAGGAAGGGTGGGGAGGCTGCGAGCCATTTCTGGGCTGGGTTCCTGGCTGTCCTGACTCACTGTGACCTTAAGCAATTTCTCTCTCTTTTCTCCCCACCCCTCTGTCCACCCATCCAGGGGTGCTGTGACTGTCACTTGCCACCTGGTTAAGCTCTGCTGTGGGGGAATTAAGCCTCAGTTGGTCTTTGCTAGTTTTGGTGGCAAGACTGGATGGATGGCACCTGAGTCCTACCCACCAATGCAACTTGTGTTCCCACTCTGAGTAGGGGGACAGGTCTAGCCGGATGGGCCCATACTCCAGTTCCTCCACAGACCTATCTTCCTGTTCAAGTCCTCTTGATTCCCTGTGATCTAAGGTCTCAGGAGCAAGTGGCCTGCGTGTGAAACTGGGCATTGGTGACCTGTGCTGGGGGCTGCCCTGCTCAGCATGGATCTGAAGGTGATGCTGGCATTTGTGGGGGCAGGACATGGTGGCTGCATCTGGTTCCTTCTTTTTGAAAGTGTCTCCTTCCCCACTGTGGAACTGAGTTTCTCTCTTCCCAGATGCTGTTCTGTCCTCCACACCCTGAACTGCCTCTGAGAAGGTATTCATCAGGGCTGCTGAGAGAGCTGAGCACTGCTCAAACCAGGCTTATATGGTGTGACAGTCACGCATGTCACCAGGAAGGGCCAGGGTTCCCAGTGACACCAAGAAACTCAGGATTTTCTGGCCATCACCCCTCTGAAACCTGAGGTAGAACTCACACAGACACCCACACAGAGTAGAGAGAGGGAGAGGAGACAGGTCCAAGGGCTGGGGTGCCCTGGCCAATGTCCACCCCAGCCACCCTTGTGAGATTTCCTTCGGTGGAACTTTTGCAGTGCCTGACTCCAGCTGTTTTTGTCATCTAAAGACGGGGTCTCCAGTAGCCCTGAGTGCTGAGGTTGGCATTGAACTCCTGACCTCTAGCTCCCACTTCTCCAGGGCTGCAGTGTGTGATAGCCATCGCCACACCTGGTTTATGGGGTACAGGGAATGGAACTGCCTGATAAGCCCCATCGGTTTGTCTTTGGCACAGGAATTGGCAACTAGTTCTCCACTGTGAACCTTCATATTCCATTTCTTTTTCCAGTCTATGAGGGGGCTCAGAGGTCACAGCGCTTGCCACCAAGACTGAGAACCAGACTCATGATGGTTGCCAGTTGTCCATTGGCATGTATGCTGTGTACACGTACCCCTTGACACACATAACAAGTAAATACAACAAAGAAATAAATAACAGTTCCAGAGGGCCACACAGCCTGGCTTCCGGCACAAGGGAGCAGCTCTGGAAAGGAAATTCAGATGAAAACTTCAGTGACTTGGGGAGTTGGAATGCTGTAGGTCCTGGGCCTTACTCACTTCATCTTGCGCTAGCCTTAGTCTCCTAAGTAGCCATTTCTTGTTCCTCTGTATCAGACCTAACATCCAGACTAGACATAAAAACCCTTCAGGACGTTATCAAGTTAAGAGAACCCCAATTACTACCAGCCCAAAGGCTGAGTTGTTAGGATCTCTGAGGCGACAGCTGCATGTCTGTCCTGTGCTGTGGCTGACACTCAGGTCCCCAGCAGTGAAGGTGGTGTGTCCTCAGTTACTGCAGAACTCCATGGGATGGTTTCAATACTCAAATGTGGAATTTGAGGTCACCTAACTCTGTGCTCCTGGATTCTCAAATTTGCTCTGGAATAAACTCATCCCATTTGAGTGAAGAGCCAGGTTTTTGTATCAACATGGGGAATGTAAAGTCACCCATCATGTCTGAAGTTACCATGGCGGGGACTGGGGACTGGGGTAGAGCTGGAGGCTGACAGTGCTCTGCCCTCAGGGAATGGATGTCAGAGGTGTCACATGGAGATGCAAGAACACATAATCCCCACCTAACATGGCTCAATCACTCCCAAGACCTCACCATTTTGTCCCTGTAGACACCTGTCTGTTGGGCTGGACCCTGTGTCCCAGGAAATTGGATATCTCTGGCTGTCATTGCAGGCCTGGCCTCCTTATACCTGGGATGGCCATGTTCCCTTCCTCTTCCAACCTGCCAGCTCTTTGTGGTGACTTAGTAGATAATCAGATAGGTTCTTTCCACTTGGCCTGGCTCAGAGAACCCAACCTACTAATTAGGCACACATTCCCACTGGGTACAGAGGTCAGAGGTCACATGCATGAGGGAAACCCAAGAATCCTGGTGGGGGCTCTCACAGCTGGGAAGATAGACAGCCAGGAAAGGGATGGTGGAGGATAGCCCTTCCCCATACCAGACAACTCAGTCTGAAGTGCCAGGTGTGCTAGTGTACACCTGCCAACACAGTACTGGGCAGGCTGAGGCAGGAGGAATGCCCTTTAAAGTCAG